AAAAAAAAAAAAAAACGCGGTTATTGAAGACGCCAAATTTGATAAACCCTCAAACATCAACCCCTGTATTTGTTGCAACTTCTGGAAATGATTAAAAGCGCAGTACGATTTTAGAACATCTAAAGTTTAAAGTTTACTTCTAAAAAGTAATACAAAAAGCAGCGCTCTTTATTCCATTTATTCAGCCGTATTACTATGTGTAAAAACGAATAAACTGAGAGTTTTATCAAAACCATTAGTTAATATTAATCAACTTGAACCGTAAAAATATATGTATAATGCATTAACCTCTTAAAAAATTTTACTTTTTGGCATTTTTACGTTTCAAAATCAGAAACTAAATAGAAAATAAAGTCCTAACGTCAACCAAAAAAGAAAAAGAAATTGCTAAAAACAAATACCGTCAAAGAACATTAAACGTTGTTTTAACAGCTCGATTTGCCAACTACTGTAATGCAGATGCAAAGCTGTTGATGACCAATTTCTTTTAAAGCATTTTCAAAAGCTATGTTTTACACAAGGCTCAAATTAACCAATCCAAAATATGCACCATTTGTAGTGAACTTTATAATACCACTAATGTTCAGCAATTCTTGAAAATCCATTAAAGTTAAAATTGACAATTATTACTTTTCTGTTCAAGTGCGAAAGAAATTTTGAAAAAAAATCTTTATTGAAAAAATGTCGGCACTTTTGAAAGTTTTTGCCAGCAATAAACATTTGAGAAAGTCTAGAAAAATGATAAAATAACTGGAAAAATAATTGCACACAACTCAAATTGTGTCAGTTCTAAGAGGTTTCCGACCGGGAGTGATCAGAGGTGACGTGTTGCTACTGCTGTTGTTCAATTTCTGATTTCTAAATGTTCCGTTTACACGCTTTATAAAGTATCTACCAGCAGTGGCAATAATTGAATGTAAACATCAGACTTTTATTACTACAAGACGAGTTTAAAGCAGTTTAAAACTTCAAATGGCTTTTTAATCGTCACAAACATATAAAAAAAGAAAAACAAATTGCACAATAATTAGACCAACAGTTTTCCACTCACCTAACTGATGCCAACAAATCTTAACAGATCAAGCTGTCCGAGTACCAGAAAGAAATGAAAATCTTCATCAAACCATTAGCTCTCTAAACCGGACAGATTCATTCCCTAACTCAAATGAGTTATCAGCATGAAAACTACAGTGACTGACAACGCAAGTTTGCA